CCCCAAGACTTCTCCGCGGCCAAACCTTCCCGAGAAGACACTCCCCTCTGAAACTCCCGGTACGCCACGGCGAAGTAAACTTCGCCGCGGCGAACATACCCTGAGAGGGGTACGTTCACCTATTCCTCCAACAAACCTCAAATCCAACCCAAACACTAAGATCAAGATTAAATTGCTAATCTATCCTCAAAATCAACCCAAAAGAGGCTATTAAAACCCGATAAAACTTAGGATGTTACACAGCAGCCAGAGCCGAAAACCTTTAAGAAGGAATAATCAGGTTTTTGTTTATGGAGAATTTCAAAAGGGCTCTTTCCTCTTAACACTGGACTTGGTAAACGGTTTAAAAGGAAGGATGACATGGAAAAAGCAAAAGACCAGTATGCTTGAGGTACAAAGGCGTGATGCATTAGTGCAAGTCCGGTTTCAACAATTGTTCGATGTCTTCTTTCTACAGTGCCATTTTGAGTGTGAGTGTGGGGGCATGTGATTCTGTGAAAAATGCCAAGTGAAATTAAATCTTTGTGCAGTGAGCGAAATTCGCCTCCCCAATCTGATTGGAATGAACAAATTTTAGAGTAATAAAAGTTTTCAACAAGAGACCGAAATTGATGAAAGACTATGCGGAGCTCACTTTTGGCACAAAGAGGATAAAACCATATATAACGGGAGAAGTCATCAACAAAAGAAGCATAATATCTAAAACCGTTTACAGACACAATAGGAGAAGGACCCCATACATCACAAAATACTAATTGAAAAGGAAAAGTGGAATGGTGAGGGGAGACAGGAGATGGAAGACGATGACTTTTGGAGGTCCTACATGCTGGACAGTGGTGATGATGACTATTGACTCTGGTGACAGGAAGCTTGTTTGAGCGAAGAACTTGCTGGACTACACGGAAGGCCAGGTGACCAAGACGTTGGTGCCAGTGAAGAGCAGAAGCACGGACACCATAGTTAGCTTGTGGAGAAAGAGGATACATGCGCTTAAGACTTGGACCTTGAAGAAGAGGCTTCCTGGTTTCCTCGTCCTTCACACAAAAGTAACCAGAGTGAAACTCAAAAAAGACGTTATTGTCATCACAGAATTGATAAACAGACATTAAATTTTTTGAAATACTAGGAACATGTAAGAGATTAGAGAGAAGATATTTGCCAGAAGAAGTGTTAAGAGTTCCAGAGCCTTGGTGATGAATGGGCATTGGAGAACCATTGCTCATAAGAACAGAATCAGTGCCATGATAAGGAGCTGAGTTGAGATTTAGTTTGGAGAGATCATTGGTCATGTGATGAGTAGCTCCTGTATCGGGAAACCAAAGAGAGTTGTCCATATTGGAGTATTCTGAGTAGTGCGCTGCAAGAGAAGGAGGAGGAGGTGCCTGCAAAGCATTATTGTTCCTTTGGACGAAGGTCAGAGCAGTGTGGCCAAAACTGTCACACAGTTGACAGGGAATCTCTTTGTCAGGCTGAAATGTGGAAAAAGGAGGCTGAAAAGTGGAGTAACGTCCTCTTCCACGATATGCACGTCTAGAACCACGTCCCCGGTATGGACCACCACGCATACGGCCTCGGTTGTTAAAGAAGGGACCACGGCCAAAATTAGTGAAACCACGTCCAGAGCTGAATGAGCGACCGCCTCTGCCTCCACGAAAAGAGAGCGCACTAGGAAATCTCCCAACAGCATTAGCAGTAATTTCAATCGAAAGTAAAACAGAGTTTTGTTGATTTAGACGCTCTTCAAAAGTCAAAAGGTGACTCAATATTCCTTCAACAGTGAGAGAGGAGCGTTGAGTGGCTAGAACAGTCACTATAACATCAAACTCTGATCCTAGTCCAGCTAGGAGATAAGTGATGAAATCGTCGTCTGCAACGGGTTTTCCAGCTGCAGCTAGGGAGTCAGCAAGGATAGTGGCTCGTTTGTAGTACTTATTGACTGATTCTCCTCCTTTTTTTATATTGGTGATCTGCTGGTGCAGATAGATAAGACGAGCTTGGGTTTGTTGTGAAAAGGATGTTTCTAATGCTACCCACATTGCACGAGAGGTTCTGTGTCTGATAAACTGAGGGATAATTTTTTCTGATAAGGAGGCAAGCAGAATGGAAAGAACAAGTTGGTCTTGTTGGAACCAAGCGATGTAATCTTTATTGGGCAGACCAGCAGATAATTTTGGTGGTGAAGGGATGGAGCCATCAATATAACCAAAGAGTTGCTGACCATAGAGGTAGGAGGTGATCTGAGCTTTCCAGATCAAATAGTTGTCCTGAGTAAGTTTGGAGGTAATGTAGTGAGAGATTGTGGATGGAGGGGTTGGGTGAGTGATGGTGGAGGACGAGGGTGTGAGAGGTGGAGTGGTAGTGGACGACATATTTGGTGAGGGTGAACCAGACATGCTGTAGGGCTGCTAGAGCTATTTCAGCTCTGATACCATAATGGAGCAAAAATGTAAATAGAGCGACAAGAGAGAAAATGCTAGAGGACTCATCTCAGAATATATTGTCTATTGATGTCTCATTGTGTACAGTAGTTGGCTCAATATATAGAGGATGATAACCAGTACAAGAGATACACGTGTAAAGAGAAAAAGGCTATAGAAACTAAAGGCTACGTTATGGATTTATACTGGGCCTGTTTGAGTGTTGGGCTTCAATATATATGAACTCGATCTGAATTGTTCTAACCACGTGATTAACCTTCGGGAGAGACTATAGATAGTAATCTCAAGACCTAATTAATTAGTTAGAATAAATTAAAGATGTTAATTAAATTAGTTAATATAATATATTTTTTTTAAAAACTATAAGCATCTTCTTTAATTCTATTCCTCCCTTTCTCTCCTACTTAATTATTATTGATAGAATGAATATTAATAATAAGTTTAATTTGAAAAAAATTAATAAACATGTGAAATAGGTCTTACATATTAGATCAACATTAACTTTCTAATTAAATCCTACATTTAGGACTAGAGGAGTATTAGAAAAGGGCCAAATTAATAAGTTATTTACATATGACAATTTTAAATATCTGTTAATTATCTTACATCGAGATCTTCCTCTAAAACCAAAACGTGTAATAATTGAAGTGGTCATGAGAAAAATAATTTATCTTATTTAACACAGTCAAATATAAAACAAAGGAATTTAATTATCATGCATGTGGCAAACACAATAAAAGTTTCTTATATAAGAAAGTGAAATTTTCTTTTTCCTCAGTTCCTTTGTTTTAGTGCTGAATTCCTAGTATGATTCGACAGGTGATGAGATCCGTGATGTCAAAACATGGACACTGATATTTATTCATGGAAACTGTTACTTAATGGAGCTTTTTAATTACCGTACAAAGAGGTTTCTACCGAAAAAATATGGTTTGAATTCGATGGAGAAAAAAAGAGAAAAAAATTAGGGGGAAAAAGAATATTAAGAAAGAAAACTCCTAAAAACTTTTCTTTCTATTTTTCTTCCGGTCTAAATCAAGGATAAAAGTAAATAAGTATACGGGTACATCGCATGGCGCCGATGAAGGGGTAAGGAGCACGGGAAAGAAGAGTCCAACAAATAAGACTCGGAAAAATCCGTCTTCATTTGTCACATACATATTATAAATATATGTGTGTGTGTACGTAGGTGGAGAATTACAATAAGGTTATAAGGAAAAAAAATAATTACTAAAAAATCTCAGCAACATTTTAAGCAATATGTAATGACAAGTTAGAATAATAAGTTTCATAATAAAAAATAACAACTTTTGATATTTGTTTTCTAATTATTTCTTTTAGAACCTCATTGTAATTTTTCCTTATACACACATAGAATGTGGGCTCCAAATTTAAATAAATCAAAATTATGCTGAAAGCCTCGCAACCTATGTAAGCACATTATCAAAGCAAATAAACTCAAATGCTGAAAACCTCGCAACCTAAGCGTCTAGCTCGGTACCAAATTAGCGCCTCCTGTGCGCTTTGAAGTCTAGGGTTCTCTCCTAGGGTTAGTCGAAGCGGCGTCTTCGTTTTGGTTCTCCTCCATGGCAAGTCATCTTGCGATGGTGGGAGAGGGCTTTCACCGTGCTCTGCAAAAGGTTCTGTTAGATCAAGGACTGCTAGTGAGCGGCATAGGTGGAATGGGAGATTTGGGAAGTTCTCTTGTTGAGATGAAACAGGGGCTGAGAAATGCAATCCCAATGTGTATCGGGAATCAATGTTGCGAGCTATTGATTGGAAATAAAAGGATGGTTGGGCTTTCATCTCTGCAGAATGTCAAGACTAATGAGCTGAAGCGTTGGGTTGATCTGAGTAGAGGGAAGAAAGAAGGTGCTCAAAGCTGGTTCGCTGGTCAAGTCAGTCCTCCGATGGCTTTTTCTCTGATGCTTGGTGGCTGGCCTACAGCCACCCAAGTACCATGAGGAGGATCCTATGGTGCTACCAGGGATTTGGGGGATCTCTGAGGGAGCATTTGGAGTTTAGGCCCCCAAGTTCAGTTTTTAGGATTCTGTTCTTTTTCTTGCTTTTGTCTTTCTTTTTGGGTGTCTTGTTGGCTTTGTGATCTTTTCCTTCTGTGGGTTAAATTTGTTAGTGATGAATGCTGGTTTACTTGTGCCATGATCACTGGTTCTCTGGTTTTTGTTCTCAAATTCCAGATAGCTTTTCGCCCTTCTTTCATAGAATGGGTCTTTGTAGCTGCTTCTGTTTTTGCAGCATTGGCATCAAAGGGGGTGGGCTCGGGAGAGCAAGTCCTTGGACAACCACCCTCTATTGCTCTTTTCTTTGATCATGGTGGAGTAATGGTTAGCCTCCTCACTTTCAAGTTTCTTCCTGCAAGTTTTAGGCCGGGTGTCTTCTTGTTTTTTGTTTGTTCCTGTTGCCTCGTAGTGTTTGTTGGTGTTGTTCTTTCGTTTCTGCTTTATGTTTCAGTGTCTGTAATTTGATCTTCCTTAATGATATTAGCTTTTCCGGTCAAAAAAAAAAAAAAACCTCGCAACCTATATATTATTGCATTTGCAGGCCTGGAAACTCTGGAGGGAAGGATCACCATTGGAATTGCTGGATCCTAGTCTAAGAAATTCCTGTCCGGGAAATGTAGTTATTAAATGCATTCATATAAGCTTGTTGTGTATCCAGGAAAATCCAGCTCTTCAACCAACGATACAGTTTATTATGGTGATGCTAGGTAGTCACTCCGTCACCCTGCCAGATCCTCAGCAGCCAGCTTTTTTGTTTAGTCGCCATAGAACAGATTCAAACAATGAGGCAAGTTTTGAGAACAGCTCGGATCAATCTACAAGCACGTCTATGCAACGATCTGTGGATGAAGATCCAATTTCTGACATGTATCCTCGTTAGTACTACCTAACTACTCAACTTAAGTAGTATTTTGTTGATGTTGTATCAAGAATTAAAGCACGTTATTTGTGTATTTTTCCCTTCTAAGACGAGGATTAATGTTGTGTGGTTTGTATTCAAATTTCAAAATCTTCGAACCCAAACAATCATTGTTCACTTTACATTTCCATTGGAAGCAGACATGTCACGTCGTCTTCAGGTCCCTGTCATATCCTCAATTTGCTGACACTTTGCATGTGGGGTATATTTACTGTTTGTGATATTTTTGAAAGTTTTTGAATTTGAGTTTCAATTCCCTATTTCTATTCTTAATCAAGGTGTTAATTTTCTAAACTAAGGAGCAAAATTTAATTCCTTTTGATTTAAAAGGGAAAAAACTAATGAAATGAATCAAAATGGAGGAAATTGATTATGTAACTTTTTTGCTCATTATTCGATATTTCTCTTTCCACTTGAGAGGTATTTCTCTTGTCATATAGTACTTTAAATTAATTATAGAGAAGTTTCTAATTTCTTCAGAGTCGGTGACTACCTCTGACGAATTTTGAAAGAAATTACATAAAATTTTATTAATTCTATTCAAATCATACTACAGTTCCTATTTTAATATATATTTATATATACACCAACAGGTCTTCAAAAAGTATGAATTCGAGGTAAGAGAAATTATTTATTAAAAATAAAAATTAAATTAAAAAGTATAAACGTGGTTTTTTTTTCTTCCAAGAATTTGAACAGAAACCACGCAGCATGCATCTTGTACAGTTGTAACAGTACAGGGCGGCTGACTGTGTAAACCGCATATAATAATTAATGAAGACTCACTGTCTTCGCTCATTTCTACTGGTCAGAGCATACTGAACATTTGTACGTACGATGACCATTTTATCGTCCTTTCTTTTTTTAACCCCCCGGAATTAACAACTTGATCGCTTTCATCAAACAGTAAGGGCCCCCCTTGGGCTTTGCTCCTCTTCTTCAATTTTATATTCGTTAATAAGTAACATCTACATGTGCTCCTCTAATATACTCTCCATTATTGCATACGATTCTCATCTGTTTATTGAATATGGTTTGGCAGTCATTGATTACTTGGTAGAAGATATGCATGATCGCTATCAATAAAACAAATCTTCGCTACGATAATCTTTCTCGCAGGTCAGATTCTTCTTTTATATTCCTTTTTATATTTTTTGATAAGTTCAAATTAATTAATTTACATAAATCAAGAAAAGTTAGTTAAAATTAATTATTTAGAGGAGTTTCGATAATCAATTAATCAGTTAGGAAGTTCAATAATTAGTTAGAGATAGTTAACTATTTAGGCAAAACATGTTATATTGTAAAATATACATGTTCTTATATTACTAGGACATACAACCATATAGCCTTGAAGAAAAGATAGAGAAAAGATAATAAGTGCATATTGATCATCACAAAATGATTCGTTTCCCAAATTCTATTCAACCCTAATTATAACAAAAATCAGAAGCGTGTGTGCATGTGTGACTTAATTAGTTTTTCACTTCATTTATTCAGATAAAAGCAAGGTTTCGGCTGCGACAATTATTGCCATAGCATTTCAAACAGCGATACTCATGATCCATGTCTCGCTCCATGCTTCCTGTGCCTTAGATATGGATGAAGAGCAGGCAAGAATGTTTCAGTTCCTAAGACTGGTATGGTTTAGGAATGTGTGAAGCTATTTTGTAATCGCTACATGTCTGCAGAATATGTGAAACTTGATATATATAGTTTTGGCGTCCTGATTTTAGAGATCATTGTATCAGCAGCAAGAAGAATACATCATTCTATGGATCAAGTTCTGCAGGCCTGGAAGCTCCGGAGGGAAGGGAAGCCATTCGAATTGCTGGATCCTAGTCTGAGGAATTCTTATTCAAGAAATGAGGTTATGAAATGCGTTCATATAAGCTTGTTGGGTATTCAGGAAAATCTAGCTCTGATATCTATACAAGATCTAGCTAGGTTAAGAGGAATTAAATTTCAGAGACTAAAATCATGAATTTAAAATTTGAAAAACTAAAACCAAAATATGCACAAATTTCAGGGACCAAAAGTTATATTAACCCTTAATAATTTTAAAATATTCTATTAATACTCGTGGAAATCTATTCCTTACCTTCTTCTTCATATTTGATGCGAATGATGAAAAAGGCACAATCATTACTAAGAAAAAGTAAAAATAAACTCCTCAAAGGTTGAAGACATAGAGGCTTTGCTGTTGCTGGCGAATGAAAACCCAAAGAAAATGAGAATTTGGGGTTAAATTCATGAGCATCATACGCTAGCGAATGAAAACCAAAAGAAAATTAAAGTAATGAAAAAATATTTGTTAAATTTGACACCTCAAGCACACAATATTGAACGCATTTGGAACATATTTACTTGAACAAAAGATGAATTAAAGGTACTCCCTGGTCATTTTCTTTTTATTTTTTTAAATCAAATTACAAATGGACGCACCTTAACCCATCAAAATAATACACATCAGACGTTTGCGTGTCCGCCACGTGGGATTTTTATGTCAACCTTCGGCTGAGTCAGCAAGTTAACGGTCAAACTTAACTTTTCTATTAGCCCAGGATATGGATGCACTGTTTTAATTAGTTTGGGACACTGGATGCACTGAAAATTATTTTAGGACACTGGATGCACTTGGAAAAATAATTCAGGGTGTTGGGCGCACCTTAACCCCATTTTAAATAGAAAAAGAGATCCTTAAATTTTGTTCAAAGAATTAGAAGTCTCCCATGCAAAATTTTTAACTCCCACTTTCAAATTTACTAATCAAAATCAAGTTTGGTACCTAAACTTCACAATTTTTTCAAGAAAAAAATTAGGAATAACTGAAATATCACATTTTTATAATAAAAATTTAGTCCTTCTATTTTATTAATTCGAACGAACTCAAATCTTCATAATTCTGCCACTTAATAAACTACAAAAATGGAGAGCTGTTTCGAGTCAAAGTCCATAGACTTGATCAATAATTAAGAGAAAGTTTCCCTATTTAGAGATTAAATGTTACATTTTCCCTTAAAATTAATCTCACATTTATATTTTCCATTTATCCCACTTAACAACTTATATTTTCAACCATTAATTGTTACATCCATACGAATTTGGAAAAGAAAAAAAAAGGATTTTGTCTTACCATTAATTGTTACATCCATATAAATTTGGAAAGGAACGAAAAAAAGAAAGAAGGGATTTTGTCTTACGTTGGTGCCCCGACGTCCCTTGACGATAAGATGAAGAACTTTCAAAGATCAATTAACAAACGCAACCCCAAGTACTGACATTCCTCTTCAGCCATCAAAATGGACTCTGCTAACTGCAAAACTAATTGACTTATAAGTAACTGCTTTGAGACTCAGATATTTTCTTAGCTTTGACAGGAATAGGGACCCAGTAGTGGGGAAGTTCCCAGCTCGCGATCACAAGTCATTTACGACACCTATATGTTTAATGTCCTTTTGCCCGCTTTCTCAATTTTGCATTGAATGGTTATATATCATCGTTTTCGAGAAAGAAACAAGGCCCCCTAAAAGCTAGTCTCTAAGAAACCAACCCGAAAGTCCCCACTAGCTTACGTCGCAAGGCTTTGCATCTGGATTTTCTTAAACCCAACAAAACCAATTTGGATGCATTTAATCACTTCATTATATGATCCAACTCCTTTTTTTATTTGAGTCCAGTTCCAAGCCTTCAGAACAATATGCTTGAATCATCAGTTGTCATCCCTTTATTAACCTGCGATAATTGTAAATATTCTTTTCTCGTATCTGAAGGCTGGGATACAATGATGATCGATTGCATAAGAAATACTAACATGAAAGAAATACTTTTTGTTACAACTTACACAGCTCAAAAGGCCATATTGTGAATTTTCAGAATTCGAACATTGCATATGTACTCTAAATTGTAACCGCTGAAAAATATTAATAAAATTTTATCCAATAGATATATAACAAGAACATCTGGAGTTCTGGACATTTAGGTCTTGATTCCATCGTAGGCAAGGAAGAATCGGGTTCAAGCCTTCTAGCTGAAATCTGATTCTCTAGAGAATTTAATTCAGGTCTACCAAACATTCTTCAACAAGGAATCGTTGGTACATTCCATTCTCTTTGTTATTGTGTAGTAAAACCCGAATAAAAAAAATGAATAGAATAACGCTATAAATATTAATGTCGGGCTTGGAAAATATCATCTGTCCCTTTAAATAATTACGATCAAATAATATTAATAAGAGTGCAGCGTAATTGTGTATCTCAATTTTTGTACAGTTAAATAAGAACGCTTGTCTCTTACAGGGGGTCCAAGAAATAGAATAAATAAAGCATGGTACTAACGAGGAAAGAATTCACTCATAGACACTTGAACAGTTGAGGCTGATTCCTTACTTGCACTGGTACGGGGCTCCATTCCATCGTGCAGAAAGAATGCAGGTTCCCGTGGCAATGGCAGCTGAATGGAATCATTACTAAGATATGAAACAACCGTTGCCATTGTGGGTCTTGAATCTGGATTTTCTTGAACACATAGCAAACCAATATGGATGCATCTGATCACTTCATTATATGACCCAAATTCTTTTATATTTAAATCTAATATCTCCAGCAACTTTTCCTCTTTCCACTGCTTCCAAGCCTATGACAATTAAATAACACTAATTAACACCCTTTTATAAACTTATAGAATATTGTTGAAATAATTATTTCTCTAACTTGAATGATGTTGAAGTAATTGCACAAGAAATAACAACACGAGAGAAACATATTATCATAACTTACATAGCTCAATAGGCCATCAACATATTGTGATTCATTTTGACGACTTGTGTTCTTCTTTCCACTAATGATTTCTAAAATTATAACTCCAAAACTGAAAACATCTGATTTTTCAGAATATTGTCCGTACATCGCATATTCTGGAGACATATAACCACTGAAAAAGAAAAATATCAATAGTAAGAACATTATAATGGGGGCATATTATATAGTTGAGTAGACTTTTCAATGTCAACTTAGGTACACTTATTTCTCTTCATTCAACCATATCAAGATAGCTGCAAAGCTTTACAAGCAGAAACGTAAAACTTACTACGTTCCAACAATTCTATTTGTACTTCCCTCTTGTGAGTTGATGGCAACCATTTTAGCTAATCCAAAATCAGAAATTTTTGGATTCATTTCATCATCTAATAAAATATTGCTTGGCTTTAAATCACGATGTATAATTTTAAGACGGGAATACTCATGGAGATGATGAATTCCTCGAGCTACTCCTCCAATGATTTTACAACGCTCCATCCAACTTAATACTTTTCCTTCTATGGAACCTGTACATAAATTTGTTGTAAGTGACTATAGAGACAAAATAAAGATAATATAGGTATGGACAATTACAACTCTTAACATACACCAAATAGCATGAAACAGATAATTGATAACTTGCACGTAACATATGTATTATGAATTTCAATTAATAGCTAAAGTGGGTTGAGAAGAGTCAAACCAAATAGAAAGTAATCAAGGCTTTTGTTCGGAACATATTCATAGATAATAATTTTCTCTTGTTCTTCTATGCAAAATCCAAGTAAAGCTACCAAATTTCTGTGCTGGAGTTTGGCAATTAATAAAATCTCGTTCTTAAATTCTTCTGCGCCTTGACCTGAACATTTTGAAAGTCTCTTGACAGCTATTTCTTGGCCGTTTGAAAGAATGCCCTAAAATCATGGATGATTAGATTAAAAATTAAGAAACACGCATGCATGTGTTTGCCTGTCTCTATTAACATTTATATTGATGTTACCTTGTAAACTCTTCCAAATCCACCTCGTCCTAATAAACACTTGTCATCTGAAAAATTATTTGTTGCAGCTTCAATAGTGACCAAACTAAATTGCAGAGGTTCTAAGTTGTTGCTTTCATTTCCAACTACACAAATACAAAATATTAAAGGATACACTAAAGGTAATAAAAGCATCGCCACAACAAGTTGGACAAGCCAAATCATATGAATGAGTTAAACTTTGTCTGAGAATGAAAATTACTCACAGTATTTTTGTCTGAGAACGGCGTTGTGTCTCTTCTTTATTAGATTATTTAAGAGATAGTAGGCGAGACAAATAATTATCCCCAAAACACCAACAGAAGAAACCACAACTATCACAACAGTCCTTGTTGACTGAACCTTCGCTTTTCCTGCACAATAAACATCGACTCCCGCGTCTCAATGTAATGACATCATATAGTAATTGACTATATCCTGTAAGATGGGAAGTGGATTTCCCTCCACCTCCATCCTATCTCAACTATTAAAATTAAAATTTAAATGATTTATGTTATATTTCATAAAATAATTTTATTAAATATTTTAAGTTATCATAACTAAAATTTAGTATTTTAACTTTATATATGTATTTTAAAAAAATTAATATTTTATTGATAATTTTATAAAATGTGAAATTTGAACTGTTTAAATTTTAATCAATCTTATAATTGAAATGAAAAGTGCATAGGAGGAAGGAACTTTCCACTATATTACCACTTAAAGTCGACAAAACTAATAAGTGGGAGAAGTCAAAAAGCAATGCACAGGACTCTCCACAAATACCTTTTGGCGTTGGTTCTCGCGGGGTGATCACCGGCGATGATTGGTAGAACGGGTACGTTTCATATCGGACAATACAACTAGTTTGCAGGACTCTGGCCCCTATTTTTCCATTGCAGCAACTGGGTAAGGTCGAACTTGCTCGTTTTAAGCATGTTTCGCAGGTAGTTTCTGTTAAGTCCGGCGTGCACTGTGCTAGTGTATACACCGTTTGAAAAGTAGAAAATTTGGCTTCTTTTGTAGCAAACTTCTTGTCAGCCCCGCCCTTTACGGCTTGCGTCTCCGCCGCGTTGATAGTCTCAGCCAATGTGAGATATATCTCTAACCTCTTAGAGTTAAGTTTGTTACAGATAGTTAACGGATCCAGCTAATGACAGCTCATTGTACACGTGTCCCCTAAGTCTTGAACTAGTCAAGTCTATATATAATCGTGTCTTGTACTCAGTCCGATTGATCAAGAATACAAGAACCAGAATTATCTCTATTTTTATGTCTAACCTTTTGGCATGGTATCAGAGCTGCTGTCGTTGACAGTGCTCCGATCACAAAGCCACAGTACAGCCATCACCGTTGATTGATCTCCAGCCTTTTTTGGATCGATTGATCGACAAAACGATGGCACACTCCTCTGGTTCACAATCTGGTGCAATGGTCACTATGGCGGATTCCGTGATGGGATCGACCATTCCCAACTTCACCAACAAGAAGATCAGCGTGAAATTGGATGAATCTAACTACCTTTTATGGAAGCAACAGGTGGCTTTCATGGTTAAGCAACATCGTCTCAAGAACTATCTTATGGGGACAGCAAAGATTCCGCCGCCGAAGGTTCGAGATTCAGACGGCTCAGAAATTGATAATCCTGAGTTCGAGGCATATGAAGCACTGGATTCCGCCTTGGCTTCGTGGCTCCTCTCCTCTGTAAGTCAATCGATTCTACCTGAGCTTGTCGGTCTGGAGTCATCCTCTGAGATTTGGTCAAAACTTAATCGCATCTACTCCAGTAAATCTGCTTCAAAGGTTCTTGACTACAAGAACTTACTTTCGAATCTCAAGAAAGGGGAAATGTCAATGAGAGACTATTTGGCCTTTGTTAAATCTACGTGCGATCATCTTGCCATGTTAGGAGAACCAATTCCACACTCGTCTCAGATTTCCTATATCCTTAATGGATTAACAGCTGAGTTCGAACCAGTAATCGCTGTTATAAATGCATCTCCTAGCAACTTTGACTTAGACACTGTTCATTCATTGCTGATTGATTCTGAAGCTCGTCAAAAGGCTTTCGTTCATAACACGATTGCTCACGCCAACTACACCACAAAACTACCTTGGGATTCTGGAGTCGATGAGCAACCTCAATTATACGCATCATAAGCTCCTTACACGTCTCATAGCAACGGCAGTCGTGGTCCGCCTCGAGCTCCGTTTCCACCAAATTCATTTTTTGGATGAGGACGTGGTCGCGGAAGAACTTTTCAGCCGATTCGAGTGTCCTGCCAAATCTGCAATCGCACAGGGCATACAGCTGACCGATGCTACTATAGGTATGATTTCTCTCAAAATCATTCTCAAGGACATTCTACTACGGCCTATCATGCTGATTATGGAACACAAAACTTTGATGATATTGCCTATTACTCTGTTCCTGTAACTAATCATTCCAATGGCCATGAGTATTCAAACACTACTTCAATGCATACTCCTGTATCTACTGTTCCTACTGTTCCACCAAGTCAGTCCTCCGAATCTGCTAGTTCACCTTCCCCTGCATCTGCTCAAGCTTTTATTGCAACACCAAATATGATTACTGATGATGCCTGGTATGCTGATTCGGGAGCAACTCAACATGTTGCCAAAAACACGAATGGACTACAACAAACAATCTCTGGCAATAATGGTAAGGTCATGGTAGGAAATGGTTTTGGTTTGGATATTACTCACAAAGGACATATGCAACTTACATCATCTAATTCTCGGTTATATATGCATAATGTCTTGTGTGTTCCTGCAATGAAGAAGAATTTACTATCTGTTGCTCAAACGGCACAGGAGAATGGGGTCTCAATTGAATTTTTTCCTCATGCTTGTTTTGTCAAGGACCTGAGGACAAAAAGAATACTGATGGATGGTATTGAAATCAATCGCATGTACAAAATAGGAGCTGCACCCCTTGTACGCCAGTTATCTGCATCTGCTGATGAATCTCCTATGTGCAACAATGTGATGACTTCTGATTCTCTGACTGTGTGGCACCATCGTCTTGGACACCCGGCCATAGACACTGTTAAGACTATTCTGAAGAATGCCTCTATTCCCTTTAATAGTAATACATCAATTCCATTGTGCTCTGCTTGTCAACTTGGGAAAGCTCATAAGCTTCCTTTTTCTGCTTCTACAACTGTATATGAGAAGCCTTTGGAATTAATAACACTAGACCTTTGGGGACTAGCCCCTGTTCCCTCTCATGGTTTTAATTACTATCTTGCTGTTGTTGATGCTTATAGCAGATTTACTTGGATTTTTCCAATGCATAAAAAATCAGAAGCATTACAAAAATTTAAAGAGTTTAAGACACAAGTTGAAAACAGATGGAATACCAAAATCAAAGTTATACAGTCAGACAATGGGGGTGAATTTCTGAGTTTTAAACAGTTTGTCACTGCTTGTGGGATAGAACATCGATTTACATGCCCATACACTTCAGAACAGAACGGCTTAGTTGAGAGGAGGCACAGGTTGATTGTTGAAACTGGATTATCAATGTTGGCTCATGCAGCCTTACCAATTTTTTATTGGTCAGATGCCTTTTGTACAGCAGTATTCCTACTTAATCGCTTACCTAGTACTGCCATCAATGGGCTCACACCATTTGAGAAGATATATAAGTCTAAGCCAGATTACTCTATCTTGCGGGTCTTTGGTTGTGAATGCTTCCCTCTGTTGAGACCTTACAACAAACACAAACTAGATTTTCGCTCAGCTCAATGCATTTTTCTAGGATATAGCCCTCAGCACAAAGGATACAATTGTCTAGATGTTCAAACTGGACGTATATTTGTCTCTCGACATGTTCAATTCAATGAGACTGTTTTTCCAAAAATTTCGCAGGTGAATGTTAAGCGATTGGCTGCAAATAATTGTGCAGATGAGCTCATCTCTTCCCTCTGTCCTATACCCAAAATCACAGCACTACAACTGATACCCACCTTAGTGCCCACTTCATCTCAATCAACTTCATTGACTACCTCACCACTTTTGACCTCTTCTCCATCACCCACATCAACAAATTCACCACTCCCGACCTCTAACCCAACCACACCATCAAACCTCTCTTCATCAGCCCCACCCACTCCTATTTCTGCCTTAGACCAATCCCCTCCACCTTCTCTTAACTACATACCAAATAACACTCATCCCATGGTCACTAGAGGAAAAGATGGAATTTTCAAACCCAAGGTGTTTCTGGCTATAGATGATCTAGCTCCTCCAAATTCCATTCAAGAGGCCCTAAATGATCCTCTCTGGAAGCAAGCTGCTGAGGAGGAATTCAATGCTTTGCTTAAATTTGGCACATGGGAACTTACTGAGCTGCCACCTGAACGAAAGCCTATTGGGTGTAAATGGCTGTTCAAAACCAAAATGCATGCTGATGGGACGCTCGCAAAAAGGAAAGGCAGACTAGTTGCCAAAGGATATGTGCAAGAAGCTGGGATAGATTACACAGAAACTTTTAGTCCTGTGGTTAAAGCCATCATAGTCAGAATTATACTCACTATAGCTATTACAAATGGTTGGAAACTTCATCAAGTAGACTTCAACAATGCATTTTTGAACGGTGATTTGCAGGAGGAGGTCTTCATGGAACAACCTCCAGGATTTGAAAGAACTGGTCCATGCGGCCAACCAATGGTATGCAAGCTGAAGAAGGCTATATATGGACTCAAACAAGCCCCTCGTGCCTGGTTTCAGAAACTTCACTCTGCCCTTGAGTCACTTGGATTTCATGCCTCTAAGGCAAATTCATGCCTCTTCGTTAAACATGATGGTAATGACATTATATATCTACTTGCTTATGTTGATGATTTAGTTCTCTCTGGAAGTTCAGAGGCAGCAGTGCAAAAATTAATTGTTCAAATGAGTGATATTTTCTCTCTCAAGGATCTTGGTGAATTGTCCTTTTTTCTTGGGATTGAGTTTACACGTACTCCGTCTGGCCTATTGCTCACTCAACGAAAATACATTGATCAACTATTACAAAAGACAAATCTGTGGCTTACTACTTCCTACTCCACTCCAATGGCAATAAACATGCACTTAAAACCGTGTGACAGTGCATTATTTTCTGATCCATCACTATACAGAAGTGTTCTTGGTACACTTCAATATGTCTGTTATACCAGACCAGATATAGCCTTCACTGTCAATAAACTGAGTCAATTCATGCACGAACCAATTGTCAAGCAGTGGCAGTGTGTTGAGAGGTTACTCAGGTATCTCAAAGGAACACATGCCCATGGGCTACTCATCAAGCCAGCTCACGATCTGCAAGTTCAAGCCTTTGCAGATGCAGATTGGGGTGGAAATTGCTCAGATAGAAGGTCTACTAGTGGCTTCTTTACATACCTTAGTCCAAATCCAATTACTTGGACGTCTCGCAAACAATCAGTGGTATCTCGTTCGGCCACTGAATCTGAATATCGAAGTGTCGCTGATGCTGTAGCTGATGTTATCTGGGTAATGGCTTGACTTAAAGACATGAACATTACTGTTGTAAATAAGCCTACCATCTGGTGTGACAACTCTGGAACTGTGGCACTCTCTGCCAATCCAGTACTTCACAATAAATCCAAACATGTGGAGCTTGATCTTCACTTCATTAGAGAGAAGGTTGCTGCAGGCATTGTTCAAGTGGGCTATGTACCATCGTTTGACCAAGTAGCGGATGTCCTGACAAAAGCACAGGCTAGTGCTTTATTTTTCTACTGCAGAAACAAACTCAACATTATCTCTTTGGAAACATCAGATGTTGTCACTGGGCCTCACACAACTGCTGCCATCAATGATGACAAGGACATTTGAAATTTTTTTTTTCTGGTTCTTTCTTAAGCATGGGTCTCCATTGGTAGGGGGAATGTGAGATATATCTCTAACCTCTTAGAGTTAAGTTTGTTACAGATAGTTAACGGATCCAGCTAATGACAGCTCATTGTACACGTGTCCCCTAAGTCTTGAACTAGTCAAGTCTATATATAATCGTGTCCTGTACTCAGTCCGATTGATCAAGAATACAAGAAACAGAATTATCTCTATTTTTATGTCTAACCTTTTGGCAGCCAACAGTGACATGAAGCTACTCTGGTTTAAGCTTGCCGCAGTATTCATCAAAATAAGCCTGGGGGCTTCTTCACTGACGGAGGAGAAAGGCTCATCTGAGTAACGTAACATACACTCGTTGAACCAGATCACTGACTTTTTATCTAACGAACACCTTCGGAGTATTTGTTTGGCCGCTACGGAAGCGCAGTCATGGCAGGCGTCGGGGATGAGATCGCCACGGCAGAG